CATGGAGTGTGAGTGGAGGTCTGTGTGCCATGGAGTGTGTGTGGAGGTCTGTGTGCCATGGAGTGTGAGTGGAGGTCTGTGTGCCATGGAGTGTGAGTGGAGGTCTGTGGGCCATGGAGTGTGAGTGGAGGTCTGTGTGCCATGGAGTGTGTGTGGAGGTCTGTGTGCCATGGAGTGTGTGTGGAGGTCTGAGTGCCATGGAGTGTGTGTGGAGGTCTGAGTGCCATGGAGTGTGTGTGGAGGTCTGTGTGCCATGGAGTGTGTGTGGAGGTCTGTGTGCCATGGAGTGTGTGTGGAGGTCCAAGGATAACGTGAGTGTGTGTGGAGGTCAAGTCTCAGCCTTGGTGTCGGGCCTTTAACCCCAGTGGCACCTCACCAGCCCTGCATTGCGGTTTCTTATAACTTGTTTTGTATTAAAGTTCTCCCCCTTTTCCCCCCCTCTTTCCTACCTTGTGTGTGTGGGGGGGGGGTAGCAAACAAACCCAGGCCTTAAGTGCCCTCTACCACTGAGGCATGCAGTGATTTTTATGTTCACTTGGAATCAGAGAACAGAAGGAAGTGATACGGAACAGACATGAACAGCGTAGGTTAAAAGAGAAGGGACATTTGTCTCCTCTTCTCAGAAGAGAGTGCCTTTATGGTGATTGGCTGTGCACACAGCAGTAGGTGTATGGTGCACTTTTGGTGTCGCAGGATCTGGGACATTTGAGAGCTTTGAGTGACTGCATGTATTTTACTAGTACCTAGATTTAGGCCTACCAGCCATTTACCTCATAATTGATTTTTGAAATTTCCCTTAGGGGGATTGATTGTGTTTAGTATCTGAATATACTAACCAGCATGAAGTTATGTGCCAACCAGGAATGTTGTGGGACACAGCTCCAGAATGTAGGTAATGTTGGAAGAGATGATGAAAAAAACATGAACCTTTTCTTCCAAAGGCCATAGGAAATAGACAAGTGGACACTGGAGTGGAGACAGTGTGTATAGGAAATAGACTCTGGAGTTGAGACTGTGTGTATAGGAAATAGACACTGGAGTTGAGACTGTGTGTATAGGAAATAGACACTGGCGTTGAGACTGTGTGTATAGGAAATAGACTCTGGAGTTGAGACAGTGTATACAGGAAATAGACACTGGAGTTGAGGCAGTGTGTGTATAGGAAATGGACACTGGAGTTGAGACAGTGTGTATAGGAAATAGACTCTGGAGTTGAGACAGTGTGTGTACAGGAAATAGACTCTGGAGTTGAGACTGTGTGTACAGGAAATAGACTCTGGAGTTGAGACAGTGTGTATAGGAAATAGACTCTGGAGTTGAGACAGTGTGTGTACAGGAAGTAGACTCTGGAGTTGAGAC